TTTTTTTAAAAAGATGAGTTGCACTGGGATGATTTGCTGTCAGGGATCTTTGCAGAGTACTAAAGAGCAATGATGTCAGTCTAGAGACTAAGGTGTACCTGATCTAAGCCATGGTCTTTACAGTTGTTTGCTGTGCATCTAAGAGCTGGACAGTGAGTAAAAATGATAGAAGAATAATGCCTGTGAATTATGGTGCTGGAGAAGAGTATTAAACATACTGTGGGCTGCCAATAGAACAAATTGATTTGTCCTGAAGATTGTGAAATCAGTTTGCTCCTTGGAGGCAAGGATTTTGAAGTTCTGTCTCAGATATTTTGGGCATGTCACCAGGAGAGAACAGTCCTTGGAGAAGGACATCATGCTTGGAAGGGTGGAAGGGACAGCACAAGAGAGGAAGAGCCTGGATGAATGGATTGATACCGTGACAGTGGCAATGAGATCAGGTGTATTGGTGACAGTAAGGTTGGCAAAGGATAAGGCAAGATTCAGAGCCATTTTTCTTAGGGTCACAATGGGTCATATTTGACTTGAGGGCACATAACAATACACCAGTGATTAATGACCACCTGGATAAATAACAGACAGTAGGAAGCCCATATGAAATAGTTTGTTTCTGCCAGTGTCTGAGATGCAGCTCCAAATGAAGCAGATAGAGCAGTGTTTCAACAGATAATGAATGTGGACTTACAGCAACACAGCTCCTCTTAGTGCTTGTACCCACATCTCCCATCACAGTGTTTTGTTTGAGTTGGGATCCACCCCCTTCACAGTGTTTTTAGGTGACTGGGGTAAGTGAATGGCCCTCACTCAGAAAAAAAAAACAAAACAAAAATAAAAAAAAACAAAAAACAATGTAAATCTTCAAACTCATTGCCATCAAGTTGGAACCAATTCATAAATGACCTTCTTGTTAGTTTTCTGAGGTTATCAATCAAGGGCAGAGATTGTCCATCTATCTCCCAACGAGCTTTTGACTGATTCAGACCAGCAGGGAAGTGCCTCCTTTACGTTAGCAGTGCAGTTTTTTATGGACCGTGCCACCTGAGCTCCCTTTGAGAGAAGAGAGAGGGGAAAGATTACATTTTAGAGTATATTTTTCTTATCTAATCCAATTAGAGTCAAAACATCTGGCTAAAATTTGAAACATCTAGTAGTAGAATCAAATGTGAAAGAGATGCATAAGACTTTTTTAAACCATCTCTGGTACTCCTTTTAAAACATCTGACATCTCTTGTAGACAAGATATTGATGGATTTTCGTTTTTTTATCCAATCTGCTACTCTTTTTCTTTTCAGTGGTGCATTTAAATCATTCACATTCAGTGTGATTATTGCGAGGCAAGGTTTTATTGCTATTATTTTGTTGAGTTCTTTTTAATGTT